GGTTTCCGTCCTTAGCGGGACATGTGCCTCATGGCTAGAATAGGTTGGATCATGTTATGCGGCTGTCATTACATTTCAGAATTTAAATTGGTCGAATAGCCATTTCCTGCTATACTTTTCATCTCAATTAATCTACAACAACCCCATGAGGTTGGTCATATTATCAGCCCCATTTTAAAGATGTAGCAACTCAGGCACAGAGAGGTTAAGTAACTTGCATGAGGTCACACATCTAGTAGACAGCCAAACGGAGAGCTTGAACCCTTAAACCACGCAAGCGAACTCTAAGAGGCTCAGTGGTGATCTGGCCTTAGATAAGGAGTTCATCTCAAGAAGCAGTTTGCTCTTTATCCTTTCTCCAGCCTCTGGATTTAGTAATCATTCCACATACGTAAGTGAAAGACTGAGGTCACTAAGGGAAATTACAGTTGCCTACCTATGGCAGCCAAGCTAAGGGTAACTGAGATGTGCCGGGGTCTATCTGAGGTCAGAAGGGAAATAATGCTTAATCTCACTCTCAGCCCAGTGCCAAAGGCCAAAAGATGACAGCCTGCCCTGTGTCCTCCCGGGTAAAACTGAAACTTGGCTCTGGTGATCAAACTATCAAAAAAAGAAAGAGAGGTTGAGAATTATTGTGACAGGGATATTGTGACAGGGGGAGAAGTATCCTTTCACATTTCCCCATGGACAAAACTAAAATGTCTAGACACAATCTGTTAGAAGCTACAGGAGTCTGCTTCCCCAGATACCAACTTTTGACATTATTACCCACCAGACATATATCAAATGTAGAATTCACCAGGTAATATATTCTAGTGATGATGAAGTATTTATATAGCACCCGAGAAATTTTTTCTCTTGTTTTTATTATATAATTTAGATAAGTTCATTGTAAGAAAGTCAAACAAAACAGAAGGGAATTAACTGAAATCAAGGTCTTACCCTGATGCCAACCACTTATTTCAACTCCCCAGAAATAAATGCTTTGGTTAATAGCTTTTCTATGCAGTCACAAGAAAGTATTGTTTGTTTCCTGATGTTTGTAGACAAATGGAAGGATCTGCAAATGCTTTTTTTTTTCCTTCAGTATATAATAGCATGCATGGTGTGTCTTGCCACAGTTTTTAATTGTTGCATGATACCCCACTATTAGGGACGCATGAAGAAATTTTGACTAGTCTCTTAGTAATAAACATTTAGGAGAAATACCTGAGCAATAATGATAGTTCAGAAAATAACCTAATGAATAAGCAGCTTTGTTTTGTTTTTTTATCCTCACCCAAGGACATTTTTGCATTTATCTTTATATAGAGCAGGAGAGAGGAAAGGGAGGAAGAGAGAGAGAGAGGAACATCGATGTGAGAGAGGCACATCAACTGGTTGCCACCCACACGACCCCAACCGGGGCCTGGAAAGAACTGCAACCGAGGTATGTGCCCTTAGCGGGAACTGAACCAGGGACTCTCTGGTCCGCGGGCTGACACTCTAACCACTGAGCCAAACCAGCCACGGCTGAATAAACATCTTTGTACATAAGCTCCCCACCAGAATATGAGTGTTATGGTGGCAATGACTTTGCCTGCTTTGTCCGCTGATGAACCCTCAGCACTTGGTACAGTCCCTGACACATAGTGGGTACCCAATTCATTGGGTGAATATATCTCAGGTGTACACAAATATTTTAAATTTCTATATACATTGACCCATCACCCTCCGAAATGATTGCTTCACTCTATACTCCCATCCATGTTTTGTCTTGTTTCGATTATTTTTAGAGCTCAGTGTAGTAGAAATCATGAATGCTTATGTATTCGTCTCCTGCTGATTCTCTAACAAATTACCACAAATGTAGTGGCTTAAAACACAGATTTATGCCCGGCTGGTGTGGCTCAGTGGTTGAGCATTGACCCATTCACCAAGAGGTTGCCGGTTCAATTCCCAGTGAGGGCACATGCCCAGGTTGTGGGCCTGATCCCCTAGTTGGGGGTATGCAGGAGGTGGCCAATCGATGTTCTCTCTCATTAATGTTTCTGTCTCTTCCTCTTCCTTCCTCTCGCTCTGAAAATCAATAGAGGAAAAAAACATTTTTTTTAAACACACAGATTTATTATTTTTTGGTTCTGGAGGTGAGAAGTTCAAAATGGGTTGGCAGGGCTGGGTCCTTTTTGAAGGCTTTAGGGGAGAATTCACATCCTTGCCTTTCCAGCATCTATGGCTGCGTTCCTTGGCATGTGGTTCTTCTACATCATTCCAACCTCTGCTGCCATTGTCCCATCTCCTTCTCTGACCCTACCTCCCTCCTTCCTTTGTGATTACAGTGGACCCATCTTGATAATCCAAAATAATCTCTCTGCCTTGAAATCTCTATCTTAATCACATCTGCAAAGTCCTATTGGCCACATAAGGGACATAATCACAGGTTCCAGGGATTGTGATGGGGACATATTTGGGGAGTCCTTATTCTGCATATCACAGTTTAGGAATCAGGTCTGAATGCCAGCACTGTCGCTCCAACTGCATCTCCTAACTATATGTTGAGTCCCTACTTCCCATGTCCGGAACTAAATCTCAGACACATGCTAACTAGCTTGGTGGTCTTGCTCCAGTTATATTCTCCCTGAGCCTCCATTTTCTCACTTGGAGCTGGAGAGATTGATACCTGTCTCATAGAAAATGCTGTATGTAGCCCAGCCAGTGTGGCTCAGTGGTTGAGCGTTGACCCATGCACCAAGAGGTTGCTGGTTTGATTCCTGGTTAGGACACATGCCCAGATTGTGGGCCCGATCCCCAGTGGGGGGCATGCAGAAGGTGGCCAATTGATGTTCTCTCTCATCGATGTTTCTATCTCTCACTCCCTCTCCCTTCCTCTCTCTCGAAAACCAATAAAGAAAAAATATTTTAAAAAGTAAAATGCTGTATATAGAATGTCTGCAAACATCCCTTTCCATTTAACCAGCCTTCAGGAATTACTATATGCTGTTTTAATCTTGAGAACATATAAGTAAAATACTAGGTTAAGCAATGACGAGGGAGAGGAAACAGATGCTCTTGTAAATCACTGATGTGAATGTAAATTTAAGGCTTACTAGAGGGCGATGTGGCACTGTGACTGTAATGAAAAGCTTTATGAATGTGTTTTCTCTTTAGCCCAGTAATTATCTATTTCTAAAGTGTATCTCGGGGGCATGGATGAATTTATGTGCAAAGATGTTCCGTGAAATATGGTCTATAATACTGGAGCAGGGGGGGTGGAAAGTGTCAACCCTGAGAAAGAACATACCTACTAAGACGACCTTAGAAGGTGGTTCACTGGGCTCAAATTTAAAAAGGTAGAGTAGCAGCTATTTCTAAACAGGGGCCTGTTTCTAAACAAGGTCCTCTCACGCAAGCTGTGCTTCAGGGAGAAGCCTGTACTAAGGGGCCTGCCTTCCGCACTGAACTGCCTGCCTGCACCGTGTTCCTGCCGGCTGAGCCAACCCTTATAAAGAAATTCCTGGAATCGTATTTCAACCAATAGGGCTGAGACTTTCTCTGTCAAATCAATGTTATGCAGCTATATCATTATTAGCACCTTCACAGACCAATCAGAAGGACTCCATCCTGACCAATCAGAACAGTTTCTTTTAGACCAAACTATGAGGCTTTGCAGTCCTCATTTGCATAAGGATGGACCAGTCAAAGACCAGGGGCAGAGATTTCGCTCTATAAAAGTCAGCTCCCCTCTGGCCAAGAGAGCATACTTTCCCTTCCACAAGTGGCTGGAGATTGTGTTTCTCTGGCTGGAGTTGAACCACCAAAGACATATCAATAATCCAGAGTGCATCAGAGCGAAGCAGGAGGAGTGGAGAGGGGCCTCAACGCAGATGCTGTTCCACATGTGTGCTGTAACACTGTTGAGCTGTTTGCACTGAATAGTTTCCTTCCTTACCACACAGTAAATGGGGGAGAGTCTTTCCTTGGTATTAGCGACCTAGATTCTCATTACAGAAGTCTCACCATATGAAAGGATTTTGTGAAAGGATGTTAAACACCACTCAGAGGTTTGCCAAACGTTAGTGACAAACTTGGGGTTTGAGTCAGGGTTACTTCTTATCTCATATCAGAAAGAGAACTCTGTGGTGAGAGACTGTAAACATTAGTATATATACTAAAAGTACAGATTATATGTTACAGAGATTATTTCTAGGGTAATAGAATAACCAATGATTTTTTTCCCGCTTACTTAATTTTCTGTTTTCTAACAACGAAGGTTGGGGAAAAGAGATTTCTAAACAGAACAATTCCACTCATTAGATTAACAAGCATTTCTAGATATAGAACAAATAAATACTACCAAAGGTGTCCCTCTAGTCTAGTGGAAGGCAGGACAGGGCTGCTGCGGAACACGTGGTTGAGACTTTAAATCCTTATTGTATTGGAGACTTCCGACCTCGGAGAGAAACAAGAGCCCTAAAATTAGTGAACTATTCTGCTTACTCAAAACATTTTCGTTTTAGGCACACTTGGAAGATTGACGATTATCTTTTTCAATTGTCAAGGTCGGGGATCTATGCTCCTTGGATTTCATTCTCCTCTCCCACTTTTTGGAAGTTTGTGTTCTAGGTTCTGGTGTAGGGCGCCGGACTCTCAAATCCAAGGCACCAGACCAGAAGGAATGACTGACGGCTCTAGGGTGGAGCCTGAGGCATGTAGGGGACACCTGTCGGGAGCACTAGCTCCTCCCAGTGACTTTACGAATCTTCGGCTCCATTCGGCTCTTCTTCGACAGAGTTCGGCCAGCGCTCGCGTTCTCGGACTCGGTTCTCTTCGGCTACGTTCGGAAGACTCTCGTCTCGCCTCGGTTTCTCTTCGGCCAGCGCTCGGCTTCTCGGGCTCGGTTCTCTTCGGCTCCCTTCGGGAGACACTCGTCTCGGCTTCGGCTTCTCTTCGGCGGAGCTCGGCTGACGCTCGTCCTCTCGGGCTCGGCTCTCTTCGTCTGCGTTCGGCCGCGGCCCGGAAGGGCGCCCATGGAGCCGCGACTGTCGGCTCGACTGACGGCTATGGCGCCACTGCTGGAATACGAGCGGCAGCTGGTGCTGGAACTCCTCGATACGGACGGGCTGGTAGTGTGCGCCCGCGGGCTGGGCGCCGACAGGCTCCTCTACCACTTCCTCCGGCTGCACTGCCACCCGGCCTGCCTGGTGCTGGTGCTCAACACGCAGCCGGCCGAGGAGGTGCGGCCGCCGGCGCGGGGCTCAGGGGACCCCGAGAGCGTTGGGGGCCTCCAGAGCGGATGCAGGCCCCGGCGCCGAGGCGAGGCCTATGAGGGCGGTGCAGGTCCCTGACGCGGGTGGGAAGGCGTTGGGTGGGGGGTCCCCGAGGCAGATGCAGGTGTCTGACAGGGGGCTGCAGGTCCCTGACAGGGGCGCGAGGACACTGAGAGGGATGGGGGGGTCCCGAGGAAGATGCGGGTCCCTGGCCAAGGACAGTGAGCGCGATGGAGGGGCTCTGAGAGGAGTAGGAGAGCCCTTTGATGAGGATGGGGCGGAGAGAAGCATGGGAGGCCCCTGAAGGAGTCAGGGATGGCTGGAGGAGGATAGCAATAACGAGGGAGTCAAAGTTGGATATTTAGAGGGCTTGCTGGGGTCACAGGAGTGGGATCCATGAAAGGGGGGATGGGGATGGAGGACCCTCTGAGGATGATGGGGAGACGTGAAAGATGCTGAAGCTGAGGAGAACCTTGTAGGGAAGAGGAGAGAGTAAGAGAGTTCACCAGAGCTGTGGAAGTGGGGCACAGCATCAGAAGGGAAGGGAGCTGGAAGCTGAGGATATTGGGGAGGGTACCTGGGTGGAGGAGGGGGGTACACCTGTGCGGGGGTGTCGAGAGGTGACAGCCTGACAAGTCTGACAAGTCTGATGAGCCTGGAGGTAGAGCAGGTGGCCAGAAGGAAAATGTCAGCTGAGAAAAGTGGCCACAGTCTCCTTGAGGACAGGGGTTTTGTTCCATTCATGTAGGTATGTCCAGTGCTTGACATAGGCTTAGCACAACACCCCCACCCCAGTAAAGTAGTATTGAACTGAAGGTGTAAGGGCCACGGGCCACATTGACAAGATGACATTCCCTCTAGGGTGGATCTTGAAAGAACTAATAGTCTACATTGCCTGGGAAAAGGATCCCCTGGATATCTTCTCAAGCAGTACAAACCTGGCTTTGGTGGGAAGTATTTTCCAGGTAGCAGAAGTCTTTTAACCCAAGGTTTCAAAGCCTTTTGTATTGTTGCTCAAATGCTAATAACAAGTGCAATGATTCCTTAGTGTAAACCCAAAAACAAAACAGAAACAAGAAAGCCCTAGTTAAATGGAGACTGGCTGCTTGATCAACATAAAGTAGTAACTTAGTGTGTGTATTCATTATTAAGTTCGTTCTCTCTGAGAAAGGCAGCATGTCATTTTAAATACAAATACCTGCAACCTGTGTTAAATACAAAAACTAAACTGCCCCCTGTATTAAATAGCCTACTAATCAGGTTTCATTTGATCTAGGAGTATTTTATCAATCAGCTGAAGATAGAAGGAGTGGAACACCTCCCTCGCCGTGTAACCAATGAAATCGCAAGCAACAGTCGCTATGAGGTTTACACACAAGGAGGTGTGATATTTGCGACAAGTCGAATACTTGTGGTTGATTTCTTGACTGATAAAATACCTTCAGATTTAATTACCGGTAAGAATTTGAACCCTCGTCATATATAAATTTGCCCCCCCCCCCTTTTTGTCTGTCCCCTTCTGCTAAACTCTAAACTAGAACCTTCTTGTAAGTGGCACTGGATGTAGTTGCTCAACATTGTCCATTCAGCCATTAGCACAGTATCTGACACATTGATGCTCAGTAAATATTTGTGGCCTGAATAAGTAAATAAATATAAAATTGACTTTTCCTTGTTTTCTAAGCTCATATTCTGTAAATACATGGTAATTGGGTGGCATTTGCTTTTAGAACCTAATCAGACTTGAAATGTGTATAAATACTCTTAGTATATTTCCTAAAATAGTTGCTTTTCCTCTTTAAAGAGTATTCTTCCCATGGTATGAGTTTAACCAAATAGTTGCTTGATTATTTTGAGAAGAATGGTTCAGTTTTAGCTAGAATTAATATAGAAATGGAATTATTATTATTATTATTTGCTCTTCTGGAAACCTTTTCTGATTTCTCCAAAACTAATTTAGAGGCTCTACCTCTGCACCCTCAGGTTACCCTGTGCTTCTCATAGCTCTCAGAACACCATAAAATGTTTGCCTATTTATTTGTCTGTCTTGCTCATGAGATAACAAGCTTTGTAGACACAAGGAACAGTTTGTTCATCCCAAGCTACAAGTATCTGGTACATAGTACTAAACACATACTTGTTGGATGAATGATACATGGTTGTATTGTGATCTGTAGTGAACTTCTGGGGAGCAGAGAGACTTGGGAAATTCATAATGGCTCTTCCCCTTTATCTGTCATAGTACCCTGAACCTAGGAGACCCTCAAACAATATTTAATAAAGAAACATATGAATGAATTCTTTATATGGTGAACTGACTGAGAAGAAGTTTTGTTATATAACATTTATAATTGTTATAAGCCATGGCACAGACCATGCAGTCAGAATCACCTGGCTTTGAGTGGTAATGCCACTGCTTACAAGCTAGTTACATAATTTTTTATTAATTTTTTTCATGAACCCCTGTTTTCTCTCTTCTTAATTACCTGGTACATAGTAAATACCTAATAAATAATAGACAAAAGATGTATTGGCTTTTAATTACCAGAAATCTTGACACATCATAAAGCCTTTTACTGTTTGCTCCTTTTAAGTAGTTTAAGTAGATAAAATGAAAAAAATATATATTGAAACTACCACTAGATGTCAGTATTGCTCTTTCAATAATAGTTCAATCTACTTAGGCAGAGAGCAACCTGAATCGAATAAATGTCCAAAATAGAGCTTATAGGTAGTTTCTAATTAATGGTTACTTTCTGTATGACTCAGTTAACTCATCTGTAAATTGGGGACAGTAATACTATCTTCCTGCTAGGATTATTGTCAGGGTGAAATGAGATAAACTATGTAAAATTCTTAGCATTGCGCACGGCACATAGTAAGCATTTTATAATTACTGTGTGTTATGATGTTCCTGTCCTCAAGCAGTTTAGTGGGAGGAGACTGATGTAAACTATTTACAGTACAATATGAGATGAGATACAAATGTTATGGGAGCATAAAAAATTTCAGTAGAGCCCTGGCCAGTTTGGCTCAGCGGTTAGAGCGTCGGCCTGCGGTCCAGAGAGACCCGGGTTTGGTTCCCGCTAAGGGCACGTACTTCAGTTGCAGTTTGTCCCCGGCCTTGGTTGGTCGTGCGGGTGGCAGCCACTCGATGTGTCCCTTCACATCGATGTTTCTCTCTCTCTCTCCCTTCCTCTCTCTCCCTCCCACTCTATCTGTACAAAAAATGGAAAAATATCCTCAGGTGAGGATAAAAAAAAAAAAAAATTTCAGTAGACTTTTGTGGGACTAGAATTGCCCCAGAAATTTGACCTTATGTTGTTTTTATTTTTATTTTTTGTTTAAATAGGGGGCTCTCAGGTGGTGTCACTTGGTAAGAAAAACCAGGCTTTGTTCCCAGACACACATGATTTGGAACTTCTGGTCTCCCATTATTTGTTGGATGATCTTGATTAAGTTGCTTCCCTTTCCTGGTTTCATAATAATGCCTACCCCATAGAATTATTGTGAGGATTAAATAATAAAACTCTATAAAAATACCTATCCTCGGAGCCTTGGATATAATATTAGTTTTTTTCTCCTTCCTCCTTCTGGGTTCCAAAACAATGACAACCTTTTGGAGCACATTTTCTTAAACTGAGGTTCATCTTTTCTTTAGAAGTTACTTCTATTATTTTTAATTTTATGTGATATTTCAATCCAGGCCAACTGTGGCCCAGAAGAGTAACTTGGAAACACCCACCTACTAGGTACAGAATCTCTTCTGAGCAGTAAATTGGTTATGCACTTATACTGGGGTGATTGAAAATCCTTTGTCTACAAATTCCTAAATAATGCTATTAATTTTTACCATATTTGAAAAGCACTTTGTTTAGGTAGAATAAATGTTAGCTCCATCCACCTTGATCCAGAATTTAAACACTAAAATAGTAGAATCTGAACTGAGTTTATTGAACTACTAGAAGTGATGACAGCAAATACATTTATAGCAAATATATATAAGTAACTGGCTTGATGTACATCTAAAAGAATGAGAATTATCATAGAATAATTGAGTTTTTGATGCAGAAATGATGTCTGTGTACTCTTATATGTCATCTCATGTCTCTCCCTAATTTATCCGTAATCAAACTACATTAAAATTCTATATATATCCAAAAGACCATGTGGTCCAGTACTTGTTCTATAAATAAAGAAACATGTAGTATATAAATAAAGAATCCTACTTGGCGGAAATTCATTTATCGCAGTAGAGTCTGGAACTGATTAACCACGATAAACAAGAGCTGACTGTATAATTGTCCTTATTTTTGTGATTCAGAGGTGTCATCACCACACCCACATCAAAAAAACACATGTATTAAACATACTTATTAAAGGTTTTTATTTTAAATGGACTAATTTACCTCTCAATTGAATATTCTGATTCTTAAAATTGAATTATTCTAAGAGGTGATGCAGATATTGCGCAAACTTCTAAAATGCAGTGATTTTGTGTAGTCCACATCTAAATCATGTGTGAAAGGAGAATTATCGGCTAACTTAGCTTTCAGAAATTCTTCCTCCACTAGGCCAGACACTGTGCCACCCCAGGGCCTTTGCTCATATCATTTCCTCTGCCTGGAACTCTCTTGGTCCACATGGTCCACAAGGCTCACCTCATCTCTGTCCAGCCTTTACTCATAACCTCAGTGAGGCCACCCTATCTAACATTGCAAACCACCACCCTTCACGCCTCTGATTGCAAACCACCTCTCTTCCTCTGATTTATTTTTTCTCCTCAGCTCTTATCACCTTATAACCTACTGAATATTTTACTTATTTATATTGTTAATGTAAGTGACGTAAGGACTACGTGTTTTCTTTGAAGCTATATCCCCCGCCTAGAACAGTGCTTGCCCATGCTCTAGTAGGCACTCAAAAAAAGTGCGATGAACAAGTGAATGAGAGTAAGCCTGAAAATTACATGTCTATTCTGTAACTGAAATTATAATTTCCTCCCTCAGGCATCTTGGTGTATAGAGCTCACAGAATAATCGAGTCTTGTCAAGAAGCGTTCATCTTGCGCCTCTTTCGCCAGAAAAATAAACGTGGTTTTATTAAAGCTTTCACAGACAACGCTGTTGCCTTTGATACTGGTTTCTGTCATGTGGAAAGAGTGATGAGAAATCTTTTTGTTAAGAAGCTGTATCTGTGGCCAAGGTAAATAGCATTATGTGATCAATTTCTAAGAGAATCTGCTGTCATTTAATTTTGCACTTTAATGTAATGTCAAATATACTGCATTTGGACTTGATGCATGCTAGTCAGGTTCATAACAAGTCCATCTAAATATAAATACTGTATGGTCACCACATTTGTGATATCCTCACCAGGGGATATTTTTCCATTAATTCTTAAATAGAGTGGAAGGGAAGGAGGGAGGGAGAGAGAGAGCGCGAAACATTGATGTGAGAGAGACACATCGATTGGCCGCCTCCTCACAGGGCCATGACTGGGGCCAGGGATCAAACCACAACCCAGGCATGTGCCTTTGACTTGGAATCGAACCTGAGACCCTTTGGGCCACAGGCCATTGCTCTAATCACTGAGCCAAACCGGCCAGGACTAAAAGAGAAAGAGATTTGATAGTTGTTTTTCTGGTAGCCCATCAAATCCATCCAAATGCATCCACATTATCCTTTCTCGTCCACTTAGTAAAACCCCCAGAGATCTATCTAGAGACTCACATACAGAGCAGCTGTAGGTGAACTACAGATTTATTGGCTAAAATTCCCTCTTCTACTTTGAAAATTACCCATCAGGGAAGTAATGCCCAAAGATTTTGAAGAGTTTCTGTAAATTTCTAGGAAAAACAGGTTTCAATTTTCAAACATTTTGCAACCCATGCTAATAGATATTTTGGGTATACTATATGGTATTTAAGAGTAGTTGTCTTTTTTTTATTTCTTGATTATACCTTGTTTTGGGGATCAACAAATTTTTGCTGGAAGGGGCCAGACTGGAAAGATTAGGCTTTGCAGGCTATGTGGTCTGTTAGTTACTCAACTCTGCTGTCCTAGCATGAAGGCAGCCATTGGCAGCATAGGAAGAGTAGGCATGGCAGTGTTCCAATAAGACTATCAAAATAAACTTAGCCCAGACCATAATTTGCTGACCCCTGCCCTATTTGAATAATTGCCATTCATGGAGGTAAAAGTATTTCTGAAAACATTATCATTTTACTTTCTGTTACATTTGTTCCTTAATTGCATTTACCAAAAAAACAAAAATGTACCTGTTGAAACTCTAGAAAATATTTGAAAAATATTTATCTCTTTAGGTTCCATGTAGCAGTTAACTCATTTTTAGAGCAGCACAAACCTGAAGTGGTAGAAATTCATGTTTCTATGACACCAGCCATGCTTGCCATACAGACTGCTATACTGGACATTTTAAATGCGTGTCTAAAGGAACTAAAATGCCATAACCCGTCGCTGGAAGTCGAAGATTTATCGTTAGAGAATGCTATTGGAAAACCCTTTGACAAGGTACTCTATTTCTTTTCCCTTTTTAAACACAGTTTGTTATGTTATAATTTTAAAGAATGCAAGTGATTTTAATATTTTCAGTGTTCTTAATAGGAATTTGCTGTTGTTTATAATTAAATTGGAGGTGATTTAAAGTATAGCTTCTTTGGTTTACTGGAAAGTAATCATTTGTAGTAAAATATGTGAATTGGCACGCAAGCACAATTCTGATTCTGCATTGATAATCTCTTATTTAAATATAATTAAGAGGAGCATAAATAACCTTTGCTCTTAAATGACAACATTTGGATATCTACAGGTAGAAGAGTTTAACATAAGAATGCTTCAAAGTGTGTCATCTCTTGTTTAGAGAAAAAATAATTTGGATGAGTTTTCATTACTGAGGAATGTGACATTTATTGCCTTAAAATTATATTCTAAACTGAGAAAATAAGATTTTAAGGAATTTTTATTCTAATTTTTTTATCATAGATTAATCTTAATACAGATAGGTAAATGTCTAAAACTGAATTGTAAATCCATAAAATGCTTACGTTTTAAGTAGTCCAGGCAACTTTTTTTTCATATTTTAGTAGACTAAGTTACTTTCTTTAAAACTTTAAATCAACCTCTTTGTCACTGGAAATAATACAAAGTAGTTATAAAAAAAGGAAAAATTTAATTCTTCATTTCTTTGATTCTTCCAAAAAAATAATTTATTTTACTGTGATATAGTGATACATAAAACTAATTTTATGATTCATAAAATGAATTTCCTCTATTATTAAAGTAAAGCTTATTATCATTTAGTGTATGGTGAAACCACACACATACACATACACACACACACACAAACACACATACATACACACACCTGTTCACATTCTTTTAATAGAATGTCTATATCCCTAGAAAAATAAGACATAGTCTAATATGTTTTGCACTAAATCTATGTTTAATTTCCCCTGGCTAGTAAAAGTCAAAGTATTGTTTTAGTAACCAAATCTAAATATAGGTATAACTTGCATCTTGTTAGAAAATTTAACTTTTGTAGATGATTTTACAAAAGAGACAGGTAGTTATATGTCCCAGTTTATCTAGAACAGTCCCAGTATCTGCCTTATCATGAAATAACTATTAATGGTATCTTAATGAACTATTATTTCATGTTTACAAAAGTCCTGGTTTGGACAATAAATTATAGGTCATCCAAATATTATATTTACGCAGCATTAAATTTGTTAGATAAGATGCCATATAGTGATACTGCTTCCATATCATGCTACCAGTATTATCCTTTTAAGATACAGGATCAATCTGTGAAGGAAATGTTCATATATAATAGCTGTGAATGTGTAGATATCTACATTGTATTCACAGTACATAAAGGTGTTGTGTGTTTTAGGCAGCTTTTTAGGATCTTAAAAAATATGCAGATTTAGCCTGGCCAGTGTGGCTCAGTGGATTGAGCGTTGTCCCATGGACTGAGCAGTGGACTGAGCTCATTGTCTTCCCATGGACCGAGCAGTCCTGATTTGATTCTGGATCAGGGCAAGTACCTGGACTTAGGACTCGCTCCCCAGTAGGGGGCATGTAGGAGGCAGGCTTTAGATATTTCTCTCTCACACTGATATTTCTATCTCTCTCCCCCATCCTCTCTATTAAAAATCAATAAAAATATATTTTTAAAAATACCCAAATTTAGTCAGCTTGTTAATTTAACAATTTAGTCAGTTTAGCAAGTCAAATGGTAATTTAACAGTATTTTCTCAACCATGATTCACATTTTAAAAAAAAACAACTAACATCTTTTACACCAACAAATTAAGGTACATTGTTATTTAATTTAATACCATGTAGTTTCCCTGGTTTATGCCCTCTGCTCCATTGTCCAACTGGATCCCACAACTTTATCCAATCCTGGAGAGGCAGAAATCAAATGTATGAGCTACATGCTTTGACTCTTTCTAAAAAAGAAAACATTGATTATCTGATGTTTATCATGCCTTTTCTCTTCTGACTAGTCATGTAAATGTGGATAATTATGAATTGACTCTATCTGATCATAAAGATTCTGCTGATAAGACACTCTGCATTGTATTTGAAAAATTAAACATTTTTAGAATCTCATGAACTGAAATTTTCTGTCCAACTCCTTCAAAGATAATATTTTGGATATTTTTTATTGTGATAAAATATACATAACACAAAATTTATCATTTTAACTATTTTTTAGGTTTATAAAGGATGATGTATGTTGAAAGTATAATCTGTATTTCAAAATAACTATCTTGAACATATTTTAGCAACACTAAATTTTATTCTTGTTTTAGACAATCCGCCATTATTTAGATCCTTTGTGGCACCAGCTTGGAGCCAAGACTAAATCCTTGGTTCAAGATTTGAAGATACTACGAACTTTACTGCAGTATCTCTCTCAGTATGATTGTATCACATTCCTTAATCTTCTGGAATCTCTAAGAGCAACCGAGAAGGCTTTTGGTCAAAATTCAGGTGGGAGATAAAAATATGAATATTATCCTAGGAGCTGATTTGAATATAGTTCTGGGTTTTGTTGAGGTTTTGTTCAGGTGTGGGAAGTGCTATATTCACCTACATGGTATACGAAGGTTTCAAATTACATTATATGTTCCTAGCACAAGGATATAGGTTTTATTGATAGCTAATGTTTCCACCTACTTAACTTCTGTTCTGTGCAATAATAAATATTCATATCCATTCTGGGCAATTTTATTTCTAGAAAAGACTGTATAATACGGGCAGTCCCCAACCTAGAAATAGCTTGCATTCTGGAAGTTTAGTTGTTAAGAATTTAAAATTCAGCCCTGGCCGGTTTGGCTCAGCGGTTGGAGCGTAGGCCCACAGTCCAGAGAGGCCCGGGTTCAGTTCTCGCCAAGGGCATGTACCTCGGTTGCAGTTTGTCCCTGGACCTGATTGGGGTTGTGTAGGTGGCAGTCACTTGATGTGTCTCTCACACGTCGATGTTTCTCTTCCTCCCTCCCTCCTCTCTCTCTCAAGATAAATGAAAAAAAGCCCTGGCCGGTTTGGCTCAGCAATTAGAGCATCGGCCTGCGGTCCAGAGAGACCCGGGTTTGGTTCCCACTAAGGGCACGTACCTCAGTTGCAGTTTGTCCCCGGCCCTGGTTGGGTCGTATGGGTAGCAACCACTCGATGTGTGCCTTTCACGTCGATGTCTCTCTCTCTCTCTCTCTCTTTCTCTCTCTCCCTCCCACTCTATCTGAACAAAAAAACGAGAAAATGTCCTCGAGTGAGGATAAAAAAAAAAGTCCTCAGGTGAGGATTGAAAAAAACAAGAATTTAAAATTCATTTTTCCTGCAGAAACAGTAAGGTCGTGTGGGGTTTCATCAGCTAGAATCTGATGGCCAAAGATGAGAGATTTGTAAGGAAACACACATATGACTAGCCACTGTCTTGCTTTCCTATCAGTTACATCCTTCACCCACTATTGCGGCTTCTCTCCCTGTTTGGCTAGGCCAGTGTGGTCCATGGGCCCCTAAGGCCAAGCTTTAATAGGATTACCCAATTTTGCTGCTTCATCAGGGACATTGTTGAGTGATAAGCTGCAAATGCATTGACATGAAGAATACACTGGCTGCTGGTACACTGGTCCCCCTGCCTTGATCGTGCTCAGGCACCAGCCGTGTTACCCACTAATGCTTTTGCACCATCACAGGAAATCACAGTGTGAAAAGTCAGATAATCAGTTAGTGTTATTATGAGAATAGTTGTATTGTTATGAAAATAGACCCCCTGAAAATATGTTGGGGACCCTCAGGAGCCTGTAGGCCGTACTCTGAAAATCACTGGTCTAACCAAACCATGACAGAGGCCACGGTAAAAGGGAAAGTGTGGTTCAGAGAACAAGATGGCAGCCAGGTGTATATATAGGTCATGTGACCATCAGAGAGTCTTTTAAATTAACTGTAAATTGAAGGTGTTTTTTTTGTTGTTTTTTTAACTCTTTATATTAGGTTGGTTATTTCTTGACTCCAGCACCTCAATGTTTGTAAATGCTCGAGCAAGGGTTTATCGTGTTCCAGATGCCAAAATGAGTAAAAAAGGCAAGATGACTGAAAAAGTGGAGATTAAAGAAGAACAAGGTATCTTGTAGGCTTAAGTCTTTAAATGTGTCTTTTATTTAAGTATTTTGTGTGGAATTGTTTATCACGTTACACTATAATTTTAAATCATTGTTGGCCATATAGGTTATATGTAACATATGTAATGTATGTTAAAAGTATTCACCGTGGCAAGTCTTAGGATCCATTACCAGGGAACTCCAAATAACAAATGCCAAGTATCAATCAAGTGCATTCTTACCATTCCATAAGAACTATGGATTTTTTTTTTAACTTCAGAGTAATTACAAGTTGGGGCACTTAAAGTCTTAGTGCAACCTTTTAACATCCCTTTAGTTTTTAGAGAACGTAAATATACTAGAATGAAAAAAAAAAAATACAGATTTTATTCCAATACATATCTACCAGGTATAACAAATATCATTGGTTTTTGTTTTGTGTGGTTTTTTCCCATTAAACTTATCGGGGTAACATTGGTTAACAATAGTATATAAGTTTCAGGTGTATAATTCCACAATACATCATCTGTATACTGCATTGTGTGCTCACCACCCAAAGTTTAGACTCATTTCATCACCATATATTTGACCCCCTTAATCCTCTTCTCCCCCGACTCCTCTTCCCCTCTGATAACCACTATACTGTTATCTGTGTCTAATCTTGTTTGTTTTGTTTGTTCATTTGTTGCTTTCTGTTTTATATCCCACAAATGAGTGAAATTATAGGATTCTTGTCCTTTTCCATCTGAATTATTTTACTTAGCATGATACTCTCAAACTATATCAAACTAAAAAGCTTCTGCACAGCAGAAGAAACCATCAACAGAGCATAAAGACAACCAGCTGAATGGGAGAAGATATTTGCAAATGATATCTTTGAAAAGGGGCTAATATCCAAAATATGTTAAGAACTCATACAACTCAACAATAAATATATCATTGGTTTCTTAAGGGATAGGATAATGCTTACTTACTTTCTTTCTAGTTCAAAGGCCTATTTTAAAACTTAAATATATGTATTAGTGATGTGAAATAAAAGTTTGACTGTTGTCTACTTCTGTTCTGTGTTCAGGATTGTGAAAGTCATGGGGATTTTGGAAACAATAAATACGTTACTTTCTACTGATTATTTTGTATGAAGGTCGTATATAACATCACAATTAACAACTCACACGGGATTATCTCTTATTAGTGACCATGAATATTGCTTTCTTTCAAGGCATTATGAAACCTGTATTAATGTTGGTTTGAAGTGTCTTTGATTTAAACCACAAGGAGACCTTTTTCAAGGCAGCTGATTCTGGCATTATGGAGGAAGCTCAAAGGAATGGGCTTATGGAATGGTGCTTGTGTTGTCTGTTGTCTTGAAAGTCTTTGGAATATTTCATGGGTAAATATTATCACATAAAATGAGCTTATCTTTTATTTCTATACAGAAACAAAAAAGGAACTGGTCCTAGAAAGCAACCCAAAGTGGGAAGCGCTGACCGAAGTACTAAAAGAAATTGAGGCAGAAAATTCGGAGAGTGAAGCCCTTGGTGGTCCAGGTAGGAAAAAAGGAGATGATGACATATGCTTTCAAAATCAAGCAAATGAATCTTTTTGTTTAGCTCTTTAAAAATAGCTTACTATTTTGTTTATAAAATGTAGAAGAATAAATGCCAAACGAACACTGAAATCCTAGCAGCAACCCCCTCTCTGCTCGTTTGGTATGACTTTCTCTAGGTTAAATCATTGTATATTCATGAGAGCAGGTTCTTTTACTGGTTCGGTTCTCGGGAATTCTATTTAAAGGTACAGCTAATCTTCACATATAAATTTACCAGGCTTGAAATTTGGAATCCCCAAGGAGAAAGCTAAAGGGTCTTATGTTTTATTTTCTCAGCAAGTATCTTTCCAAAGAAGCCTACACAATTATATGGAGTGACACTGACCTAGCCTACAAAAATTCCAACTTTTAGGGCTACTCTCTTCAAACTTGAGTATACTAGATTAACATAGACTAAACCTGAACCAAGTTGAAAAATAAAACAATAGAAAATAAAAGGAAACTAGATTAAAAAAAAATTTTTTTTCTTTATTGATTTTAGAGAGAGAGGAAAGGAGAGGGAGAGAGAAATAGAAACATGGAACATCAACTGGCCGCCTCCTGCATGCCCCCCATGAGGGATCAGGCCCTATAACCTGGGCATGTGCCCTGACCTGAATCGAACCAGTGACCTCTTGGTGCTGGGTCGACGCCCAACTGCTGAACACCAGCCAGGGCAGGAAACTAAATTTTTATTTTTTATTTTATTTTTACTTTTATCCTCACCCAAGGACATTGTTGCATTCATCTTCAGATAGAGCAGGAGGGAGAGAGGGGGGAAGAGGGAGAGAGAGAGAGAGAGAGAGAGGAACATTGACTTAAGAGAGACACATTGAATGGCTGCCACCCACATGACCCCAACTGGGGCCGGGGACAAACTGCAACCTAGGTACATGCCCTTAGCGGGAACCAAACCCAGGCCTCTCTGGTTTGCGGGCCATTGCTCTAACTACTGAGCAAAACCGGCCAGGGCAGGAAACTAGATTTTTAAAGTACCTATTGAGCCTTTGAAATCCTACAAAGCAATAAAGGCAACCACATAATCCTTATATTAATAACTATGCTGTTTGATATTATCCCAGAATTTATGGTGCTATAGTTTAAGCCCCAAAGTCATACATGCTCACCTAGAAAAAGTTAAAAATATAAAGAAAAAAGAGAAGGAAAAAAATTATGTCTAGAAGCCACTATCAAATTTGGCATATTTCCTTCCAGGTTTTCTTTTTCATATTTTCTATTTCATAAGTCATATATAGATACAATTTCTGGATATAGAATTGATGAGTCAAATGATATTAAAATTTTTAAAGTTCTTAAGACATATTACCACATTGATTTACAGAAAATTTTTACCAACTTTCATTTCTTCCAGCAGTAAGAGTTTCCTTCTTTTTCACTTAGCTCTCAATGACTAGAGAGTCTGTTTCTGTGTGTGTGCACGTATATGCATACAAATTTTATTAATTTGATTGGAGAAAAAGGTTATCTTGTATTAAATGTTGATGTTTGATAAGCTCAGTATTTTCTCAAATGCATTTCCTCTTTTGTGAACTGTCTTCATTTCCTTTGCCAACTTAGGCTATGCCCTGAGTTTGTATCAGCTTTTTATGTAGTAAAAATACTAACATTTACGCCCTGGCCGGTTTGGCTCAGCGGTTGGAGCATCCACCTGCGGTCCGGAGAGACCCGGGTTCGGTTCCCACTAAGGGCATGTACCTCGGTTGCAGTTTGTCCCCAGCCCTGGTTGGTCGTGCGGGTGCCAGCCACTCGATGTGTCCCTTTCACATCGATGTTTCCCTCTCTCTCTCTTCCTCCCTCTCCCTCCCACTCTATCTGTACAAAAAATATATATATATATTAACATTTATCATTTTTGCATATTTTTTTGTCTTTAGTTTTTTTTAATGCTCAGTTTTTTATTATAGAGTTAGTCTTAAGTTGTAGATATCAATCTCCTCTGCTATTTCTTCTGTTGCTTTTAAGCCTAAAAAATTATCTGTAGTGGACAGATGAAGAATAGTCTCCTTTTTTTATAATTTAACATTTGACTCTGTAATCCACCTGGAATTTATTTTGGTGTACACGATTCTCTGGAAATTATTAATTAAAAAGAGCTTCCTTAAAGCCTCCATTATACCATGGCTATATTTTAATACGACTGAATATTCCTGGCTTCAACTTCACTAATAGCTTTATGTAATCCTGCATCTAATACCCTTTTTAAACAAATTGTAAATGTTGTCTCTTTAGCACCAAGAGATAAAACGTGCCTTCCTTGTGAGGGAAGAGGTGAGGGGGCACATGGGGATTGGTAACATAACATTGTTTTCTAATTTTAGGTCAGGTCCTCATTTGTGCAAGCGATGACCGAACATGTTCCCAGCTGCGAGAGTACATTGCTATCGGAGCAGAGGCCTTTTTGCTGAGACTCTACAGGAAAGCTTTTGAGAAGGATAGCAAAGCTGAAGAAGTGTGGATGAACTTCAGAAAGGAGGATGGCTCAATGAGAATTACGAAATCTAACAAAAGACCCAAAGACCCCCAAAACAAAGAAAGAGCTTCTACCAAAGAAAGGACTCTCAAAAAGAAAAAACGAAAGTTGACATTAACTCAAATGATGGGGAAATCTGAAGAACTTGAAGAGGAAGAGGATGGCAATGAAGGATATCCTAGAGACTTATCCGGTAGCCCAGAAAGCGGCTTAGAAGAAATTAAGCACGAGGAGTTTGATTTAAACTTGTCATCCGATGCTGCTTATGGAATTCTGAAAGACCCCCTCACTATCATCCATCCACTTCTGGGCTGTAGCGACCCCTACGCTCTGACAAGGGTACTCCACGAAGTAGAGCCAAGATACGTGGTTCTGTATGATGCAGAGCTAACATTCGTTCGTCAGCTGGAGATTTACAGGGCGAGTAGACCCGGGAAACCTCTCAGGCAAGTCGTAAAGAGTACGAACTGTATCTTAAAGCCTTCAAGTTCACAGTTCTTTAGGACTTAACACAGAAACTGTACAAGTCCTGTGTTATGTGCGTTTCCTTATCTTTAACATTCTGTTGTTATGTTGGTAACGTTTATGAAACTTTATTTTGCTTTCTGATGACTCTGGGAAGTCTGCATAGGAAGGACATCCATTGCAGCATAACAGCGAATCCAGGGGACAACTTGTGTTCGTTCTCTTTACTTGCTGCTCTGCTGTTATGTTCCGTATTCTCTACGCATTGGTTTGTAGCCTATGGGGTGCTCATTCTGACAAGTCTAGGACATTTATAATATTCTAACTTCCCTCCCAAATTAATATAATTGTGACTCAGCTATGAAATTTCAATCTTCTAAAATGTCTTTCTTATACATTTTGAGAAATGACTCTGAGTTACATTCACATAAAACTAAAGTATTTGAAGAATTATTGTACCGAGTTTTCTTGAGTTTCAAGAAATATCGAATGAACAGTCTTCAGAAATATCAGATGAGTACACGATGCCTTCCAAAGAATATAGTGTTCTGGCTCCAATTATCTGAGGGGAAATAAACAGCAAAATTAATATCCTGAACACAGTCTGAACCAAACACAGAGCCAAAAGAAATTTCTCTAGCAGCTTAACTAATGCAGCCTTTCAGAGTATAGATAAATGAAGGAAGTCTATCAGAAATGATGCAGGATGAAGAGATTAAATGAAGCTGGTAAAATAATCATAGGCTGGTGCATTTTTCATACTTTTCTGTTGATCAACTTTGTAGATAGCTTGTCTGTTCTTTGTTGCCTGAGAATAAAATAGTATGCTATTTGCAAACAAAATGTCAGAATCTGGGAGTTCAACTGCTCACTCTGAGTGGGAAACTGAACCCCACAAATGGGGATTGACTTGCCCTCAGCCACATGGCACATTCGTGGGAGAGCTAAGGCCTCCGGACTCGTCCAATGGCCTCTTCCCCGTTCACACTTCAAAGAATCTATAAAGATGCAGTCTAAAAGAAAAATTGAGGGCTGAAAAGGGGAAATGTCTGATAGAAGGTGAAGAAAAGGGGCAGAAGATGTGTGTAATTAATCTTATTAGCAACGAACAAGGTAGAAAAGCTGGCCTTTCCTAAGAGAAGAGCATGTAGCAAATTACTTCTTGAGGAGCCTGGTATAATCCCTGTGTCTTCTGTGCTGTGTGCCTACGTGAAATGTGCAACGACTCAGTTCTGTTAGGACGTGAATGAAAAAGAGCTGAGAAAGTACTTGTGAAGATAAAGTCCTGTAGACTTTCATTTGTTTATTTTCACTAACATGAAGTTTCATAAGCTGGTTTTTACAACTACTGTCTAACTTTTTAAATGCTTGCTTGGCAGAAATGCAAAGAAAAATTGAAAAAAGAGAAGCCACTGAGATTTTGTGTTTTCTGCTTTGTTTATAGTTATAAGGGAAGAATTATTCTATCCCCCTTGTTATATTTCGATGTTTACCTGAACTCTGTTCCTCCTTTGGCAAAAGAAAAAAAAAAAAAACCCACGTGGTAACAAGACCTTTAGCAGGTGGGGTTTAGGCAGCTTAATTTCAGTATGTGATTAATGGAACCTTTTATCCTTAGTCAAATATTTATTATTTGAGCACTTCAGGTTGCTGATTTCAAATGTTACGTTCTTCCTGTCAGGGATTATAAGTTATGTTTTTGTGATCTAAAAGAGTTCTGTCCTGACTTGCAGGGTTTACTTTCTTATCTATGGAGGTTCGACCGAGGAACAACGTTATCTCACTGCTTTGCGGAAAGAAAAGGAAGCTTTTGAAAAACTCATAAGGTAACACAAAGATCAGTGTGAAAGCACAAACTGTACTGGAGGCCTTTCAAGATCCAGAGGCTTTTCCGAGGGGCGTGGGGATATCTAATGGCCTTCTGGAAAGATGGAGAGGGGAAGAAGTTGGGGAGGATCACATTGAAATAAACCAGGACACCCCCTCCCCACCTTCTTCCCCCACGGGCAGGCATCTCCTACACTCGAAGGGCCCCCATGAGGTTTGCAACCAGACAGCAATCGGCCACGGCAGTTTGTCCTGGGCTAACCCCCTGAACCTGTCCCCAGGGCCCCTAATTCTCTGACTTCTTTGTGAGCCAAAGCCACCCAGCCAGGCTCGTCCCCCAGGCCTGCCTTGTTTCACTACCCACAGCTTTACTAACGTCCTCTAAAATTTTAAAAAGAAAAAAAAGATAAACCAGGATATGTCAGCACATATTTTCTTTTTCTCTTCTCCTCTCTTTATCATTTTCAATTGTTTTTCAATAGTTTAATAGAAATGTGAGCTGGTTTTCTGATTGTAAAGAAATATAACCACCCTGGCCAGTTTGGCTCAGCGGTTAGAGCGTCGGCCTGCGGTCCAGAGAGACCCGGGTTCGGTTCCCGCTAAGGGCACGTACCTCGGTTGCAGTTTGTCCCCCGCCCTGGTTGGTTGTGTGGGTGGCAACCACTCGATGTGTCCCTTCACGTCGATGTTTCTCTCTCTCTCTCCCTTCCTCTTTCTCCCTCCCACTCTATCTGTACAAAAAATGGAAAAATATCCTCAGGTGAGGATAAAAAAAAAAAAGAAATATAACCTAGCCCTGGCCAGTGTGACGCAGCGGTTAGAGCGCCAGCCTGCGGACCAGAGAGTCCCGGGTTCGGTTCCTGCTAAGGGCATGTACCTCGGTTACAGTTTGTCCCTGGCCCCAGTTAGGGTCGTGTGGGTGGCAGCCCCTCAATGTGTGTCTCTCACGTTTATGTTTCTCTCTCTCTTCCCACCTCTCTCCCTCCCACTCTGTCTGAAGATAAATGCAAAAATGTCCTCGGGTGAGGATTAAAGATAGATAGATAGATGATAGATAGATAGATAGATAGATAGATAGATAGATAGATAGATAGATAGATGATAGACAGGCAGGAAGGAAAGGAAGGGAGGGAGGGGAGGAGTGAGGAAGGAAAGAGAGAGAGAGAAAAAAAAAAAGAAGAGAAAAGGAAAAGAAAAGAAAAGAAAAGAAAAGAAAAGAAAAGAAAAGAAAAGAAAAGAAAAGAAAAGAAAAGAAAAGAAAAGAAAAGAAATATAACCTAAAACACCAGAAGCATAACTAAAACACTACTTTTCTAAGAAATGTGTTCTTGCAGCTCTCTCTGCCTCTCCCCCTGTACAGGATCTCTCCATTCCTCTGAATGATGTTTTCTTTTTCTCCCTGTACAGTTCCCATGCCCTGCGGGTGGGTGGCTGCTTGACTGTTTACTGGGAAATGCTTTTCCATCCCAGTCAGTTCAGATCGATAGGCCACTCTAGGAAAATATTTTTGAAAGGGTGTGACGTCTGTCTGAACATATGTGTACGTTTTTTAGAGTGATGTCCTTTAATATTCCATGTCCAATGGAGAAAGATTTTCAGTTTAATCCGAGGGAAATGTTTCTAAGTTTGATGTTCACCAGCCAGATGGCTGCCTCTCCCCTGCAAGTGTTTGAGAAATCTGATAACCTCCCACCAGGGGTATTGTCAAGGAGATCACAGCTTGGTGAGGGGAAATGGATCAGATGATCCCTTAGGGACCTCAGAAGCCAGGGCAGGGGCTGGACGGGGCATCCTTGAGCCGACTCAGAGAAATCATTAGATCAGAAGAGACTATGACCTGGGCTGAGTGGGACTGGGCCATACGCATCTTCCCAGCCGCAGACATTGGCAGTGTGTCAATGGCAGTGAGAAGGCAGAGGTCATTTTTAGTGGCAGTTAGCCTGCCAGGGCCCTAGGCAAAGTTTCCAGATGGAAAACCACCCTTCAGCATTGGTTGTGGACTCTCAGTATATGCGTAAAATGTACACATGCCCCAGTTTGTCCGGGGCTTGCATTCCTGGAAGCTGGTGCTTACTGAGTCGGGGCCACTGCGTCCCTATGGGGGACTCGGCGTACTACGTGAGCAGTGCCTTCCCTTCCCTTCAACGCCCCTCTGACTGTGACATGCCTCCTCATGGGTTCTTCCAGCTTCTAGTCAGGCATACAGTTACTGGTCAGTCCTTTCACCTATGAAATATACTTTCTATTAACATGCTCTATGGAATGGTTTATATGGGCGTGTGTGTGTGTGTGTGTGTTGAAAAAATATTTCAGAAAGAGTTATAACAAACAAGGTTCTATCTGTTCTTGTCAAAGTTTTTGGTGCCTCTCTGTGTCTTCTAGATCTTCACTCTCCCAAGACTCAGTCACAAATATTTATTGAGCATCTATTATGTGCCAAGCCCTGCGCTCTTATTAAAGTGCTTACGTTACAGTGCTGTGGGTAAAGCCTCTGCCCTCCCAGCGCTTTTCCTCTAGTGGAAAAGACAAACATTAAATGACATAACACTCAGCGACTATGATAATAAATAGGTGCAGAGTGCTGCTTTCTGTGAAGGTGAAAGAGATGGGGTAGGAAGAGAGTGTGTCAGAGGGATCCAACCCAGTGTGGGGACCAGGGACAGCTTCACTGAAGAAATGGTATTAAAGCTGATACATGGAGAATGTGTGCTAGTTGCTGGGCAGACAAGGTGGGCAAGGAGGGTGTGCGTGAAGGCTCAGAGGTGCAGGGGGCTGTTAAGGATTTAAGATTTGATTCTGAAGGCAATAAGAGTTTTAAGTAGGAAAGTGACATATTTTTAAAGGCTCTCTCTGGCATTAAACTGAGGAATGCATGGAGCAGGGAAGAGTCAGAAAGCTATTACAGTTGTCTGATAAGGAAAGGTGGTAGCCAAGATCCCGTAGATGAAGAGAGAGGAACAGATTTAAGAGATGTTGGTGACACTGGATGTGGGCCAGTACCTCCTGACCATTCCTTCACTCCTTTGCCTAAGGCTTCTCTGATTAAAGCAATTGTCACCCAGTTACAAATGAGCACACAAAGCTGAAATATTCAGATTAGGTAATAGGTACTGGTGTTCATGTTGAAGGTCCCCAAGACCACCCTAAGGCTCGGTGATTCACTAGAAGAACCCACAGGAATCAGAAAAACTGGTCTCTCACGGTTGTGGTTTATTACAACCACAGGATACCCACTAAAACCAGCCAAGGGAAGGACACATGGGGCAAAGCCCAGGAGAGGCCAGGCACACGCTCCTGGGTGTCCTCTCCCAGGGGAGCCACACAGATGTGCCTGCTTCTCCCAGCCAGTGCGTGGCAGCACACACACAAAGGTGTCAACAGGGACGCACACCTAAGGTCAGTAACACAGACACGGAGTACCAACCTGACAGACTCCCCTCCTGGAGCAAAAACACATTTTAGCACAAAACATCTGATCCAACTGGTGCTGTGTGGCCCCAAGCCTCACATATATAAAACTCAGGCAGAATATTCCAGGGGCTCAGAGCTTATCTCCCAGAAGCTGGCCAAGGCCAGTCCCAAGGAGACAGGCCTTTCTTGGGAATGTGCAGGGTTTGAGCAGCCCAGGCCTGCTGAGTTAACACTTTCCTGCACAGTGTTGTAGCCGAAGAACCTGGTCGCATGTGAGGAAGAAGGTACCTGAGAGAGGTGAGTTTTTATGCTCCTGGCTTCCTTCTTGAGGTTGCCTCTTCTCCAGTATATCAGGGAACCCAACCTTGAAAAGAGTACGTTAACGGATTGTAGCACGGTGTTGGGGACCCCATGTTATTCCTGGTTTATATAAGTGATTCTGCAGATCAAAGGGCTCAGTGACAAGGTGAGGAAAAGCCTGGCACTTACTAGAAATCTTACTCAGCAGAACCCAGAATATGGACTCTCTCCTCCACTTCAATCTATACAGTAATTTCCATAGCAGATTTCAATATAACTTTATGGTCTGGCATAATTTCCTAAACTTGCTCAATGGTGCTGTCGACTTATTGTAAGTTAGATCGTCCCATACTACATAGCAATGAGAGAGTTACATTATTTAGAATCTTAAGATACTTACTTTCCTAGAAAACCTGGGGACTTTGAGAAGTATTTGTTTTGAAGAGCAGAATGTATGTGAGGTGCATTGCTGAAAGAGCCTTCGAACCTGTCCCTGGAGAAAAATGTCATGTCAGAGTCAGAGAACGTGCGTCTGCCAGGACCTCCAGGGGTGATGTCGTAAGAACAAAAGCAGTGCGACTGTGTAAAATGACCAGGAAGAATGAATCAAGCGAGCTGGCAGTGAAAAGATTGTCTCATGGAACCGGAGATCAGTAGATTACAGATGAGTAAAGAGAAGAAAGATTGTATTTCCCAGTATTGATAATAAAATGCTCCCTGGGTAGAAAAATTAGTAATAACATTCTGAGTATACATAGTTTTGGAGAAGTCACTGCTTTTCAAAGGAAGGGGAAAGATTATCTGAAATGTTACATTTAGAAAATATGATCACCAAATGGGTGAGCGTAAATAATGCCCACTGGAAGAGACCTCTGGTTCAGTGCCCCTCCCTGTATTGTCATGTGCAAGCTCTTCAAGTATCACTGATGATGTTGAAGCAAAAATAAGAAACCTCAGTCAGGCCCGTGTGGCTCAGTGGTTGAGCATTGACCCATGCACCAAGAGGTTCCGGTTTGATTCCCGATCAGGACATATACCCAGGTTGTGGGCCAGATCCCCAGTGCGGGGCATGCAGGAGGTGGCCAGTCGGTACTTTAGATTAAGTGGAAATAGGAATCTGAATTTTAAATTATTGTGTGTCTATCACATAGAGTAACTTGAATAATGATGCTAAATGTTGAAAGCAAGGGGCTGAATATTTATAATTATGACAAATTTCTGTTTAATTCATTTAAGTTGCTGGTTAAAAAGACAATACTTTCTTCACAACTGTGGTTTCAGGAGTATATTTTTTCTCAGATTCAATTTGCAGTTATAACATTTCATGGTAAAGTAGCTGTGTTATGTAATAATCTTAGTTGAAACAGTTGTGGAATCACTTAAAAGTAATCTTCAGTTTTTTAGCATAATCATGGATAATTAGGGAATGAAGTTACCACATTATAAGAAAAATACACTTACAACAGCTAATCTTTATATAAGGCACTGTATGTGCCAGGCACTGTTCTGAGTGCCTTACATAGAACGTGTAATCCTTATAGCAGTCCTTTGAGGTAGGTTCTATTATTATCCCCATCTCACAGATGAAATAGAGGCGCTAAATGACTTGCCTGAGGCCACACAGCCAGTAAGTGGTTTCAAATCCAGGAAACACGGGTCATCCAGGTCTGCACTGTAGCCATGCTGTCCAGCCACTGGCAGATACACATTAGTCAGGAGACTGGAGTGCCCCCATGTGTGCTATGAAGCCTAGCCAGTAAAGAACAGAAATAAAGGGGGGGAAATCCCCAATGTTAACCCAAATGTTAAAGAAAAAATGTAAGAGCAATTTTTTTGAGTGATTGATCCTGTCCTCAGCTAGAGTCTAACAGACGTAGTGACAGCGCCCTCGTCATGCAGAGACGTTTCCAGCAGGCAGCACGTGACACTGGCCGTGAGGATACGGGGGACTGCCGCCCCCCACGTGTGTGTGAAATGTTGTACTGGTTATAACTGTGTTTGTATATCACTCCAAAGAGTACAGAAATTAAAATGCTGATTTCTGTTCTTCAGTGGTGTCATTTAGTGGGATCCTGTTCTAACACTTCCTTTGTCATCCAGAGTGGTTGGAGAATTGGTCCATCTGGTTTCATTTCCTTCCACTGGAAAATCGTTGTTTTAACTTTTGTTGAAAGTACTAGTTAATATTGAAGATTCCTCTTCTGTTTCACCTTACCCTAGTCTCCATAATTGCAGTTTGTTACACACAAACACACACACACGCCATGGTTGCTTTGTTTCCCTCAACTCTGTTGCAAGTCCTGTAAGGGAAGAGAACAGCCTTACACATCTCTTCTGTCATACTTTGCACTCATTGAATGCGCAGTACTTGCTGTTTCGTGAATTGAGTAGAACATACTTTACTAGTTTTGAAAAACAAGACTATAGCAAACCTGGCTTACTCTTCCTTTGGTTCAGTCCAGCCAGTGACAGACTACAAATTAGTCAGGAGACTGGAGTGCCCTCATGTGTGATCTTGTCATGATCGTAGTTCCTGATTACAAATCTTTGTTATAAATGTACAGTCCTGTTGATCTACTAGATATGAGATACTGAGCTCCCTTGAAGACAAGTTATCCTGTAACTATGTTTGTATCCAAAGTACCTGGCACAGCACAGAGGGGCGCTCAGAGACATTTTTAAATAACTGCGCCAGTGAGTGAGTCAGTGCTGCCCCACCACATAACCCGAGATGCTGGTTTTTTGTTTAAATCTCTGTCGGAGTCAGACTGGTGTGGCTCGGTGGTTGAGCATCGACCCACGCACCAAGAAGTCACCGGTTTGATTCCCGGTCAGGGCACATGCCCAGGTTGTGGACCAAATCCCCAGTGGGGGGCATGCAGGAGGCGGCCAATCGATGTTCTCTCTCCTCCATGTTTCTGTCTCTCTCTCATTTCCTCTCTCTCTAAAATCAATGAAGGAAAAAAGAATTTTTTTTAAATAAATACATCTCTGTCAGAAATTTGCTTGCTTGAATTAACACTGATTTTCCTTTAAAATTGAGAGTGTTTAATGGAGTTTTTTCTTTAATCAAAGTTCTATCGTGTATGTTTTCATTTTCTAAAATCATTGTTTTTTGACCAATCCCTATTTATGATTACTCTGAAAATATTGCAATATAAATAATTTAAATTCTTTTTAATGCTCAATACCACATTAGTCTGTTTTTTTATAAAAAGTTTCAATAATCTCTCTGTGGCATTTTTTACATGCTTATTTCATGTCTGAAAGTGTTTGACGGACATAAAGAACAGAAAATAAACAGCAGCTTTTTTACCTCTGGAAGATGGGAAGTAGTGCGCAACCAAAAAATTCCTTCTTTTACCCATCACTTACTTGTCTGGGCACAGTGATCTCTAATGTGCTCTTGTATTGTCTTACCACTACACTCAAGTAGGTCATTTTTTATCATATAATCTAAAAAGATTAAAATCTGGAATTTCTAAATCAGTTCAAAAATTGTTTAAAGTTCCCTGGCCGGTTTGGCTCAGCGGTTAGAGCATGGCCTGCGGTCCAGAGAGACCCTGGTTCGGTTCCCACTAAGGGCATGTACCTCGGTTGCTGTTTGTCCCCGGCCCTGGTTGGGTCATGTGGGGTGGCAGCCACTCGATGTGTCCCTTTCACATCGATGTTTCTCTCTCTCTCTCTCTCTTCCTCTCTCTCCCTCCCACTATATCTAAACAAAAAATGGAAAAAATGTCCTTGGGTGAGGATAAAGAAAAAAAATGTTGAAAGTGTTTTCCTCTTCCAGGGAAAAGGCAAGCATGGTCATCCCCGAAGAAAGGGAGGGCAGAAGTGAAGCAAACCTGGACCTGGTAAGAGGCTCCGTGTCTACGGATGTTCCCGACACTCGGAAAGCAGGTGAGCCCTGCCCTCCCGCAGCCTGTATGTAAAGGCAGCCAGAGGTTCCAGCATTTCTATACAGAGGCTTGGTTTTTTCTCAGCAAACTTAAAAATGGACGCCTGCTCCCATGCTCTAGTCTCAGCTCTGCCATTTATGAACCATGTGTCCTTCCTGAACCTACGGCTCCTCATCTGTAAAATAAGTGTGTGTGTGTTGGGGGGGGGGGGTTGATGCACCCCAGCTTAGAATTAGTCATGTTCTAGCACTGCCTTTAAATGTGGTTGGTTGAGACTCTGAATGTATTTCTGCAAAGAAACTTTTGTAAATGGTGATTAGGTTCTTATCTTAACTGGAAGGAGCCAGTTTAACTAGAGATAAATAGATAGGAGTTGTTTGAGATACATTCCCACTGTCTTTCTGGATTCGTTTGTTGCCTCTTGGCACCTCTTCAGGACCCAGGTGAGTGGTAGTCGTTGCCCAGCAGTCCCAGAACGGTGGCAGGCCACCAAGACCTGCTGAATTCCGAGCACACCATGGCCAGCACAACCGTCCCGTTCCCCCTGCCCTTTCCCCACAGCAGCAGCTGAGCTCAGCCAGCTGACACGAGAAAAGCAGTGGGACTGAATTGGTTTAACCTCTGGTGGGGTCAAGCACAGTTAGAGCAGTGGGTCTCTGGACGTAGTGTAATTAAGAATAACCTCAGCCCTGGCCGGGTGGCTCATTGGTTGGAGCATCATCCCGTTCACCAAAAGGTTTCAGGTTCGATTCTGGTCAAGGCACAGATTAGGTTGTGAGTTCCATCCCCAGTCAGGGCACAGATGGGAGGCAACCGATCAGGCTTTCTCTTCTCACATCGATGTTTGTCTCTCCCTCTCCCTCTCTCTCTCCCTCTCCTTCTCCCTCTCTCTCTCTCTCTCAAATCAGTAAAAACATATCCTTGGGTGAGGATTATTAAAAAAAAGAACCTCAGATGCTTGTTAAAACTGTAGATTTACTGTTCATAGACATCCAGTTCAGTAGATCTGAAATGGGGTCAGTGTCTCTGGGTCTTCTGATGGACGTAGTCCTTGGCTCATCCTTTGGGGAACAATGCCTCAGAGCATCTAGGTCTTTTGGAAGAAGATTCCTGTTAACTTGAACAGGTTGGTGACATTTCGTGCAGAACTTCAGAATGTAAGGCAGCATGAAGGAAGGTAGATTTGAGCGTGTAGGTACCACTCGGGAAGCTACTCACACAAGTCTGCCCTTTTGAGTTCAGTCCTCCGAGCCCTCTGTTGGTTGCCTGTGGCTGCTGTAACAAATTACTGGGAACTCAGTGGCTTCCAACAACACGCATTTATTATGTTATCATTGTGATCTTACAATTCCAAAGTCCTGTGGGTCTCCCCGGACTAAAATGAAGGAGTTGGCAGGGCCGCATCCCTCCTGGGGGCTCTCGGAGGGGGTCCTCTCCTCTCCAGGTTCTGGGGGCTGCCTGCATCCCTTGGCCTGTGGCCCCTCTTCACCTTCACAGCCCGCAGTTCCAGCTCTTTCCAGCTTCCCCCTCTCACGTGCAGGGACGCCTCGATGATCCCAAACACTCTCCCGGCCTTAAAACCTACAATTTAATCACTTTTGCACAGTCCCTTTTGTCATGTAAAGTCACACATTTACAGGTTCCAGGGATTAGGACGTGGATATCTCTGTGAGCCGGTTATTCTGCCTACCACAGCCCTTGTGAGTCCTTGACCCAGAAGCACCAGCATCCCCTGAGACCCTACCTCAGACAGGGTCTGGGGTGGGCAAAAAAGTAGGTTTACAGTTGTATACAAATAAATAGTATAGTAATTGATAAATAATAATATAAGAGTGAACTCTGTGTTTGCAGACTCATAACTGTAAACCTACTTTTGCCAGCCACTGTATAGACTGCTCTTTACCAATGATTTCACTCATATATGGGATAAAAAAACAGAAAATAACAAGCGAAAACACAAAACAAACTCATAGACACAGACAATAATATGGTGGTTACCAATGGGGGAGGGGGTGAGAAATTTGCTCTTTAGCATGATGCTGGGTGGTTCTCACGTGCATGAGGGTGTGAGAAGCTCTGTTCTACGGTGTTTCTGTCTTTCCTACCTTCTTCCACTTTCCCGTCCCTGGCCTCATTGGCACAAGCACTCAGAGCTCTGAAATTGTTCACAGCAGCCCCTAAGGCAGTGTCTTCAGTGAGCGCTTGTAGGCATCTGCTGCGTGCCAGGCTGTGTCCTAGGAACTGGGGACCCCGTGAGCAGTGACATGTGCTCAGTGCAATGATAAGGGACCGCAAGGGGACCCACAGAGGGACAATGGTAGCCCATGCAGTATGTAGGAACCATGGTAAGTAAGGAAGCGCCCCCTGATTCTAACTTTCCTCAGTTCTATTTAGCGTAAGAGAAATTGCCTTTATTTACTCTGTAAATAAGCCTTTTTGAAAATATAGAATAATGTGGAATAATAACAACAGTACTATGCATCATAGATGAACAACAGAAACATGATTCTAACCTTTAATTGTTATAGTCCATCTGTGCAAGTTCTTCCTCAGTGACATTACTTAAAAATGTTCCTTTTCCTTCATAGGTGGCCAAGAACAGAAACGCACCCAGCAAATTATAGTGGTGGATATGCGTGAGTTTCGAAGTGAACTCCCGTCTCTGATCCATCGCCGGGGCATTGACATCGAGCCAGTGACCTTGGAGGTCGGCGATTACATTCTGACCCCAGAAATGTGCGTGGAGCGCAAGAGCATCAGTGACCTGATCGGCTCTTTAAACAACGGCCGCCTGTACAGCCAGTGCGTCTCCATGTCCCGCTACTACAAGCGGCCAGTGCTGCTGATCGAGTTTGACCCCAGCAAGCCTTTCTCCCTCATTGCCCGAGGTGCCTTCCACCAGGAGATCTCCAGCAACGACATCAGCTCCAAACTCACGCTCCTCACCCTTCACTTCCCCCGACTCCGGATTCTCTGGTGCCCCTCCCCTCACGCCACCGCCGAGTTGTTTGAGGAGCTGAAACAAAATAAGCCACAGCCTGATGCAGCGACAGCCATGGCTGTCACAGCAGATTCTGAAACCCTCCCCGAGTCGGAAAAGTATAGTCCCGGCCCCCAGGACTTCTTGTTAAAAATGCCAGGGGTGAATGCCAAAAACTGTCGCTCCTTGATGAGCCACGTCAAGAACATTGCAGAACTAGCCAGCCTGTCACAAGACAAGCTGGCGAGTGTCCTGGGGAATGCTGCAAACGCCAAGCAGCTTTATGACTTCATTCACACCTCTTACGCGGAGATTCTGTCGAAAGGGAAAATGAAAAAGTGAACAAGGGTGGCTGTTTTCTTACCCCGTGGCTGCTTTTCAACTGCCCTTTGCCAGCCATAATAGTTCATTATTAATTATTAGCTCAGTATTTCACCCTCTTCCAATGTTTTTAACGATTGTGCTGTGTCCTGGTTCAGTGGATCAGAAGCCAAGGTTCCTCCTGAACTTTGCATTTAAGCACCTTGTTACCTTCCTCGTGCCAGCTCTCCTCCCTCCCCTCGCCGCCCGCGCCAGGGCTCGTGTTGTTTTCAAACGAGGTGTGTCAGGATCAGGTAGTGTTCCTGCAAGTGCTTCTGGAAGGCCACTTGTGAGACCAGCTGAAATGTGTGTCTCCTGCACAGACTGGTAACACACAGCCGTTCTCTCCCCTGTCTGCAGAGGAGCCCCTGAGCACTGAGGAGGACGCACCTCTGCCGGTCCTGACCGGTTTCCCTCCACATCCTCCTCAGCTGCAGACTTCTCCCCCCGGCCGCCTCGGAGGGCGCTCATGGGGACACCCTCTCCTATACAAGACGGCCCCCCTAAAACTGACTGATTCCTTTTCTAGGCACCTGAATAGATGTAGCTGTAGCATTCAGTTGTTCGAAACCAGTCTTTTTAAAACAAAATGAATTACCTATTTACAGAATTTTACGGGGAGGTGAGGAACCTTTAGAATTCTGTTTCTAATGAGATAGTTAACCTCCTTAAGATTTGGTTTTCCTTCCTTAAGTTGAGATAAAAGGACTGTAAGTAAATGGAAAATCAATATATAGATTATATAAAAATCCTAAAGAAATATATATGTATTTAAAAAATCATAAAGAGCCCTGGCCAGTGTGACTCAGTTGGTTGAGTGTCATCCCATGCACTGAGAGGTCGAGGGTTCAGTTCCAAGTCAGGGCATATACCCAGGTTGTGGGTTCAATCTTCAGTCGGGGCTGTGCAGGACGTAATTGATCGATGTTTCTCTCTCTCTCCCTCTCCCCCTCTCCCTCTCTCTCTAAAGAAAATCAATTTTAAAAAAAATTTTTTTTAATTCATAAAGAAAACAATCTCATTGTAAACCTGATTGATTTCATTCAGCTTTTTACTGAGGTGTACATAGGGGCATTCATAGCATCTTTGTGCAGTTTTTAACCTTTTATATTCAAACATTATTAACGTGGGTATTGTTCACATATTTAATAATGGGTAGTAAAATGTCTACCTCAAGAGCTGATACAGACATCAGTTCCGCCAGCCACATCCCTTCATGTCGTGCTCCGTGTCGGCCACGTTTGTGTGTCACGCTGAACTCAGAGGAGACGGTGGACCATGTAACACACCACGGTCTTCAGCTTCAACAAAACTGCTACTTTTAACTGTCCTCTCCAAACTGAACCATGCCGACACCTTGCCTTCTTGGGATGTTAAAGTATGTTAACACAGCTAAAAGTACATATGGATTTTGAACTCTGTGCAAGCGTACTTCAGGAATGAATTGGGGGCATCGAAGAGCCCTTCTGGTTACTGTAGAACTCTGTGCAGAGATTCGGAGAGTAGAGAAGAAGACAAGAAACAAGAATTAATTTAAGGTAGAATAAAGATTTGGGCTACTAATTTTGTCCCAGGGTTAAAAATATACCCCCAAGAATAGAAAACAAAAATGTCAGATACACATGTTAACTTTCCCCTTTGTATATATTTATTTATTTAAGAAGTACATATAAAAGTACATTAAACTCATAGTTAAAAGTACATTAAAATAGCCGTACCATCTCAAATAGTCATGATTATTATCATTTTTCTTCACCCTATTCTCACGCTTGTGCTTGAGGTATATAATTCCTGTTATTTCTTGTATAATCCACCTGCCCAGTTTTATTGTTCTTTCATTACAAAATAGGAAAAACCTAACATGGCACTGTCTTTGGTAAGGGTTTTATTTATTGCAAGTTTTCAAAAATAAGCTCTTCTTATAGCTGCCATTTTAAACAATCCTACTTACAAGTACCACAGCGATAACAATGTTCATTGTGTTTAGAAAGCCATTGTCCCCTGACTCTCAGTCTGTTCATTGCCGTTGCACCTGCTGGACATTTGAAGACAATGTGGATTCTCCTGTGCATTTGACGTAGGAACATGGTCATTACAGGTGAAAGGCTTTCCAACTCATTATATATAGTTCTTAAAGTGTCCCCAGTGTGGAAAGCCTTTAATACACCATCATGTATTTACTTTTATCAAATATTTTTGCAGTCTTTGGCAAAGGAACAAGAAATGCACAGTTGAAAAATGACTATATCCCTTTATTTTCTAGCATCATTTGTTAGCTCAGCCTTTTTCTTTTAAAATCATAAATATCTAATATACGTATGAACACAGGCTTAGCTTTTTTTTTTTTTTCCCCTAACTTTTTTGAAACACTTGGGATCAGGATTATTTTACTTTATGTTTTTTACATAAAGTCTTAAGCGTATGAAATATCGTAAGAAATTGTTTAAATCACTGTGCCTGTGTGCCTCCTTAAAATTATACAAGAAGAAATCATTTTTAATAGTGGCCATAAATAATGTCCTTTTGGCCATAAATTGCTGTTTCTTCCATCTGAGGCTTAGTAGACTGCATGTCTCCGTGTGTGTCAGTACCTCCAGAATGCTGTGTCCCAGCTCACGAGGGACCACAAATAATCCCATTCACCAACCCACTGGGAACCCCAAGGGTTAAGTCTAGATTTGGTTGTGTTGAGAGCATAAAATTAATAAATGGCCTTGAGCAGGAAAACCTATGCTGGAGCAAATCTGAGGAGCGGGTGGGGGCAGAGAGGCAGATATTATTAGTTCTTTGCTTTTGTTTTTCCAGCATAATTTGATTTTCCTTTGGCTCAGAAATCTCTTCAGGGAAATTCCCTTCTCCTGGGTGTTCAGTTTAACCTAGAAATGTCCTCTTAAAAACCAACACAGTAGGAAAATTCTTTTCTCAGGCTTGAGTATATAAAAAGAGTTGCGATTTTTCTCCATTATTTTGCTTTGTATTTTGGTTTATAGCTCTTTCCTGTTTGATTCTCAACTTCAGTGCTTAATTTACTATCTTTATCAACAGGTTTTTGGTGGCCTACAGCACTATGGATGGGGTGGAGACATAACTGATTTATATCAATTTGTAATGGAGTTTGTGTGTTTCTAATAAAATGTGTATTTATTCAGTATTTTCCTCAGCATTCCGTGGATACAGTAAAAATTACAATAAATGTTCAGTGCATTGTATTTACCATCTTGTTAGTAAGTATACTTTTTAATTCAGGGGATATTTAATCTGGTTTCTTTTCTGAACTGCCCTTAGAACCACTGCCGTGACGTTTCGTGCGCTCGGCAAATCTACTTTCCAAGGCTGCGGCACAGTTTTCTTTTGGTTGTTTCCCATTTTGTAGCACTTGTCCTTGGGAAGGAAACGCGACGACGCTCCAGAAAAGGCTCATTTGTTGACATGTAATGACTGTGGTGAACACAATGCCTGGACATCTTAACAGATGGATTTCCTGCCACCCCTGACTCATGCATTGTTGTTCCCTTAGCGTCAAAGTTGGAAGAAGTGAATTATCCTTTGACACATCTAGAATGTATTGTAATCCCCTAACAGTTAATTATTAGTTAACTAATTGGCTCATTTCTGTGATTTAATTATTGTTGCTTCTGCTTTGAAATGTAGAACCAAATCCCTTTTTAACAAGGCGTAAGACGGGTTATTTCTCAAAATGTTGTAATGTAATAATAAAGACCCTACTAGAGTAATTAACCCTTTCCTAGTAGTAGCAAAATAACTCATATTTCCTGAGAATTGGTGCATAATCTCATTTAATCTCATAGCAAAGTTATCAGGGTACTATTTAAAATCATCTTCTGCTCTGGTGAAATCAAGTCACAGAGACATTAAGTAATTTGCCTAAGGTCACCCAGTAGTAAATGATGAAACCACCACTGAACCCTAGAGTCTGAACCCAGAGTCCCTGATGACACACTGGGGGCGAGTGGTAGGAGGAGAGAGTGGGGGCCTGCTTAGTGTCCACTTTTATATCTAATTCCAGTTATGTCATAGAAAAAGCAAACTGGTTTGTTTTCATGCGTCACGTGGTTAATAGTGTCAAGAGCAAGTATGCAAAACTTGGAAAGAGGTCAAAGAGAAGACTGAGCACCCTTTCTGTGAAGAGCTGGATGCTCTCCCTGCCCCTGCTTCCTGGGGACTGTCTGATTTTCTAGGCTGTAAACCTTTCGCTGACTGTTAGGAAGGCTCTTCTGCAACTTTGTAAGAATAGACAGGTTAGTGGACACAGACAATAGTGTGATGAAGGTGGCGGGTGGGTGCTGGGAGCCAGGAGGAGGGGAGATCAACTGGGATAAAAGGGGGACATCTGTAATACTTTCAACAATAAACATAAATTTTTTTTTTTTTTTTTTGGTACATGCCCCTAGTGGAAACTGAACCCGGGTCTCTCTGGACCACAGGCCCACGCAAGATAATTTTTTCTTAAATGCCACTTCACTTAGGACAACCCATGGAGTCAACATAAATGGTGGCCAGTAAAAATGTTGAGTGTGAAAGGACTGTATTTTCAAAAGTTTTCTCTTTCTTTTTTTTTTCATTCATTATTTGCATTAACTTTATCATCTTCCATAAAGGTGCAGACAGAGGTGCATTGAAAAAGCCTCCTATTTATTCTAATACGAATGTCAAATTCTTGCTAATTCTTGTGTAATCTGCCATAGCATTTTCTAACAAAAACTACTCCTGGCACATTCACCAAATGTGCGTTTAAAAAAAGGAAAAGAAGCCCGGCCGGTGTGGCTCGGTGGTTGAGCATCGACCCATGCACCAGGAGGTCACCAGTTCGATTCCCAGTCAGGTTGTGGGCCTGATCCCCAGTGGGGAGCGTGGAGGAAGCAGCCAGTTGATGCTCTCTCTCATCGATGTTTCTGTCTCTCTCCCTCTCCCTTCCTCTCTTTCTAAAATCAATATAGAAAAATAATAAAAGAAATTTTTTTTAAAAAAAAGAAGAAGGAGAATAGACAGGTTAACTTGTAGAAAACCCTCTATCAATACAGGTATCTCCAACTTTTTGAAAGTTCACATGTTCACATTATGCCACTTCACTTTTATGAATGACCTTCCTACTATCTGTTTTCATTAACCGAAAGAAATCCAAAGAGGATTTTTTTTTCACTTTCACAGAAAAAGGCAAAAATAGCGTTTAGCATTTGTTTTGCAGCAAGCCATCATAGAGGCAGTGGGCACCCCGAGCAGCTCCTTCCCGCAGGAACCCCACTCAGCATCAAGCCGCCCCAGCTTTGACCTGTGTCTGTGAGCATCTGAGCTTCATCGGGATCTAGTCTGTGCATCCGTTAGCACGATGAGTCCTTACGGTGTCAGAAAAAGCCTGAGAGAGCGTGTAAGGGCGTTACACTTATCATAAAACTGGACGTCATTAAATGTTTCGATCACGTTGAACAAAATAAAGACACTGTGTATTTGTCGAATTTGGGTCTGGAGATGCTCAAAAATGTTTCCATATAAGTTAACAGTTTTTTCTTCTTTGCTTTGTACCATTCAGCTGAAGAAAGGTTTCATAGGAACGCTCTACCGTCAGATGGTTCAGGAAACATGTCCAAGTACAAACCTGTCCAGCAGCATCGCCCAAGAAATTGCCTGGTGGGACATTAATCCTTCTTGTATTTTTATTTCTGCGTTCCTTTGACCAACTATAGATCTCTGGGTCC